TACCATAGGACAGACAGCTCCATTTACATTGTACTATAAATGGGCAGTGTAAATGCCAGTAGCTAGACTGGGCGAAAAAAAGGCTGACCTCACTCTCCCAACACACAGGAGAGGCCAAAGCCTGAACACAATCAACAGCAATTCACACACATTCCCCACACAGAACCCCACTTCCCTGTAGGGAACTGCATGCAGCCTTTCCATGGATCTTCATCCCTGATAAGGCATTTGGCTGCCTATACAGTTGTTGGAGAACTAGGAGCACTTCAGCACTGTGAATAATAGTGGTGCTGGTGGGGGGGTCCTCTGAAAGAGCTCTCGATCACAACATCATGACTTCCCCCATGGCGATAACAAGTCCCTTTTACAAGAAATCTCTGCCCATGTGCAAGCCTGGATAGCTCAGTTGGTTAGAGCGGGGTGCTGATAACGCCAAGGTTGCAGGTTCGATCCCCGTCAGGGACAGCTGCAAATTCCTGCTTTGCAGGGGGTTGATGATCCTCATGGTCCCTTCTGACTCTACAATGATATATATAAATGTGGGAGGTGATGATGATGATGATGATGATGATGATGATAATGATAATGATAATGATATATTTATAACCCGCCCATCCAGCAGGGTTTCCCCAGCCACTCTGGGTGGCTCCCCACAGAATATTCAAAACACGATAAAGTATCAAACATTAACTTCCCTAAAGAGGGCTGCCTTCAGATGTCTTCTAAAAGTCAGATAACTGTTAATTTCCTTGACATCTGATGGGAGGGCGTTCCACAGGGCAGGCACCACCACCGAGAAGGCCCTCTGTCTGTTTCCCTGTAACCTTACTTCTTGTGGTGAGGGAAGCACCAGAAGGCCCTTGGCACTGGACCTCAGTGTCCAGGCTGGATGATGGGGGTGGAGATGTTCCTTCAGATATACTGGGCTGAGGCCCTTTAGGGCTTTAAAGGTCAGCACCAACACTTTGAGGTGAGGGGGTCATGCACACCAGCTACACAGCAACATCTCTGTAATTTGTCAGGCTTGCCTTCTCTGTTTCTGGCCCTCTTGTGTTGCTTAGATATGAGAAGAACCGAGTGCATGACCAGGAGCCCTGATCGAGCAGGATCTCCAATCAAACGATGACTTATATTCATATTCAAGCAAATGCAGGAAGATGCTCCCTCTCAACCTGGTTCCTCTGCTTGGTTCCCTGTAGCTTTGCTTCTCGCAATGAGGGAACCGCCAGAAGGCCCTCGGCACTGGACCTCAGTGTCCGGGCAGAAAGATGGGGGTGGAGACGCTCCTTCAGGTATACTGGGCCGAGACCGTTCAGGGCTTTAAAGGTCAACATCACTAGGAAGAGATCATCAGCAAGAGACCACTAGGAAAAATTTGGCATAGTAAACCTAGTTATAAGAAGGAAAGGAAGTTTATTTTCTCATCGTGGAGACATGGCGGGCCAACCAGCATTTCTCTGCCAAGCAAGATCATTCTTACTCTGAGGACTGATGTTGTAGGTGAAGAGATTCTCTGTCCGTTCAGTTTACAAAACTGCTGCCTGATGTCAACTCTAAGTGTGCTTTATTTGTTTATGTTTCAGACGCATGTCCGCACGGGAAATCAAATTCAGTTTACGGCAGTTGCTGAGAAAATAAACAGTCCTCAGTAGCTCGCAAAGAAACGGTTGTGGACTGAGAAAAAGTGCAGTTGACCTATATTGACCTATGAAACACAAGGCATTGCCAAGACCTACTTAAGGGCTGGCTCACACCCTTGGCTATCGAGAGACCTCGTGATTATATCTTAATGGCTTCTGTTAGCTGCTTAGGCCTTGGCATCACGCGCCAACGATTTCCAGCACCACCAACAGTTGTCAATAAATAAACCTCCCTTTGGCTTAACATTTTCAGAATCAGAACTAAAGTGGTTCGAGGCCGAATCCTTCTACACTAGCTGGGAACACAAACAAATGGAGGGCTACATAACCCTCAACTGCTCTGGTTAAATTGGGACAACCTGTTTTTTGGCTCCAGGCTCACGTGCAAGTCACGTGACTCCCCTGAGAACATGGCCCGGAAGACACACAGCCTGGGTTGGGGGCTGGACATGTTAGAGGGTATGGCGCTAAATGCTGCAGAAGGGAAACAGTTTCCAAAATGTTCAGGGCAAATGGTCTGCAATGGTAAGGCTGCCCAGATTATATCTTGGCCTTGCTATTGTGGTCCAAAGGAAAGCAGAGCAATACATTTGACACTAGCTTGACTGCAGGAGTTGCTGGAAGGGGATGCCATGCATCCATCTTAGGCAGGGGTCAGCAAACTTTTTCAGCAGGGGGCCAGTCCACTGTCCCTCAGACCTTGTGGGGGGGGCAGACTATTTTTTTGGGGGGAGAGAGAGAACGAAGTCCTATGCCCCACAAATAACCCAGAGATGCATTTTAAATAAAAGCACACATTCTGCTCATGTAAAGACACCAGGCAAGCCCCACAAATAGCCCAGAGATGCATTTTAAATAAAAGGACACATTCTACTCATGTAAAAACATGCTGATTCCCAGACCGTCCACGGGCCGGATTTAGAAGGCAATTGGGCTGGATCCAGCCCCTGGGCCTTAATTTGCCTACCCATGATCTTAGGGATTCCACTCTGTGTAGGGTTTTCTCCATAGCCTCTTCTTCTCCAAAATATATCCCACAAGCCAGCAGAGGTTTATGATCAGAGCTTTCCTTCTCCTAGATGGGCTACCTTCCCAGGTTGACAGGTTCCATCTCCCCCTCACTTTCTCCTCCAGCATGTGCATAAACCACCTTCTTGACCATTGGACCCACTTTTGGTCTTGTCTGCTCAATCTGTCGGAGCTTGTCTCCACATGCAGAGGAAGTCCTGGGCTAGTCTACACTGGTCAGTGAAAATGTTTAAAATGTGTTATAAAAGTGTGGCACCAGAGGGCACTGTAGAGCAGTGATCGGTTGCCAATGTAAAATTGCATTGAGAGTTATATTACATGTGTGGGGTTTTTAAAGTGTTTTTACAAATCACTGTAGATCCAGCCCCTAACTCACCAAGGGTTTGAGACCCATCAGCTGACCTCACCTTGTTTAGCCGGCCTGCTGAAGCCATTCCCAGGGGGTGGCCACTGTCACGCACTGACAGCTTCTAGTAGCCACACGTGAGAGCTGAGTGCAGGGTGGGGACCAAAAGGGGACAAAGTACTTGAGAAGAAGCACGATGTGTCCCTCACCAGAGATACTACCCATCCCCTAATACCCTATACACCCCAATTTACAACGAAATCCATAAAAAGTTTTACAGCCTTTCAGTCTACAGTGGTACCTTGATTTATGAACTTAATCCATTCCGGAAGTCCTTTCTTAAACCAAAGCGTTCTTAAACCAAGGTGTGCTTTCCCATAGCAGAGGAGGACTCAATTTACTTTTTTTTAAAAAAAAAAAATTTTATTAACCGACCAATCAAATCAAATCACATCACATAACATAAATTCCGAATTACAAAGCCGAATTTTAAATTTTTGTTGAGGGGACCCATCTTTCAAGTTCCGAAGGGGGATTCCGATCATCTTCTTGCTACTGCGTTAATATACAAATCAGTCCAAATAAAGTCCATAATTCTATACAGTCTTATCTTGCTGTTTCCACATCTCATATTGTTCGTATATATTTTTATTTTTTTCTTTATGATCTCTTCTGATAATCTCCTTAAGCCGATAAACACCAATTATAATCCTGTGTGAATTTTCCGTTCGTCCAATCCTCATATTGAGATGGTTTCCATATATCATCGCTTTCATAAATAACATCGCTCTTTCCATCATTTATCTCGCAATCTGTCATACTTAAGTCCCTCTGAGGAGTCTCACACACAATATAAAAGCAGCTCTATTCCTCCTCCCAGACTCAAGTCCTCCGACAGAGCTTGCCAACATGGCGACGGTATTTTTAACTGTGTCATTCCAAAGCTCTTATATTTTCCACGATCTTCTTAAAACATGCTTTGGTTAGAAAATTTATCTCCACACAGTCATAAATCCACAGCTTAAGTCATTAAAACGACATTTCTGACTTGTGAGGGGGGGGGGATTCTTGTTTAATCACATAAAGAAAGGAAAGTTTTTCCCCCCCTCCCCCATCCAGTCCCTTTGCCATACCGAGTCTTGGCGTATCTTCTCATGATTTATTCTTGTTCCTCCGACTCGTCTTATTTATCAGAGATCTCTTCGTTTAGCAGTATTTACTCCCCCTCCTTCCTTGAAATATGTGCATTCGCTTCCGAGAAGGACTCAATTTACAAATGGGACACACTCAACAGGAAGCAAAACATATTCTGCTTCCAAGGCAAAGTTCACAAACCAAAACACCTATTTCCGGGTTTGCAGCATTCTTAATCCAAGTTGTTCATAAACTAAGCTGTTCTTAAACCAAGGTACCACTGTACTGTGGTACCTCGGGTTACAGACACTTCAGGTTACAGACGCTTCAGGTTACAGACTCCACTAACCCAGAAATAGTACCTTGAGTTAAGAACTTTGCTTCAGGATGAGAACAGAAATCGTGCTCCAGCGGCGCAGCAGCAGCAAAAGGGCCCATTAGTTAAAGTGGTGCTTCAGGTTAAGAACAGTTTCAGGTTAAGAACGGACCTCCAGAACGAATTAAGTTCTTAACCCGAGGTACCACTGTATATGAAAACCTGCTGGAAGGGAGGAGCAGGGAAAACTTTCAGTAGGAGTTAACCAAAGTTCAGAGGGGCGAAGGTTTTTTTTAAATGTAGTTATTCTAAGGACAATGTTTTTAGTCATTTACGGTGGAACGGTGACCCTGCCGTAGTACAGCAGCGATGGAAGGAATGTAATTTCTAGGAGCTTAAGCCTCATTTTATTATCCTGTAGACATCCAGTTAAGTTGACTTCAGATTCAAAGCCAAGCAAGCAGAGGAAACATAAACCCTTCTGGGTGACAGGAAAGGATGGGAGGGAGGGGTCATTTTTAAAGTGCCCCAGAGCGCAGGCTCCAGACTCTCTCATCCACAGTGGCAGCAGGGTCACACTAGAAACTTCTGTGGCTAGCTAGGACTTCTCAGGTGAAATCCATTTCCCCTTCCCCCTGCCTTTTCAAGAAATATTCTCGTAGACATTGTGCTGGGAAGGCTCTGTTGCTGAGAAGGGTAAGGCTGCTCTCTAATCCTGTTCTTCTTGAGCTGATTAGCTTTCTGGGTTTCTGAGCGTTCCTAGGCAGTGGGGTGGCGGCGTTCCTTCTATTTAAGAGCTGAAAATGCCCTGGGATGAATTCCCTCCAGGCTACAAACTTAATGTGGCCAGCTATGGCTATGGGGAGGGGTGGAGGCCCTAAGGAAAACGAAATTGGCAAAGGCTTTCCTTTAACTGCGTGTTTTCCTGTACAGTTTTTGACAAGTAACTTGGTGAAAGTTTGCTCCAGGAAAAAGCCGCAAGGACTTTTGCTGCTAAAATTTCACAGGGCTGGCGGCAGTTCCCTGCTAGCATGTCGTAGAAAAACAACGGTTTTAAATATTGATAAAATCTGTTTTTTAATTTTCTTTTTAAAAAAACTTGAGCTACAAATCCTTACATAGATCTCATATTAAGCTTTAAATATGTAAAGGATACTTGGCTGTCTTTAAATGTTCGTTGCACTTGCCAAAGGAATATCGACATAGCCAGCTAAGAGAGAATTGATACATATCCAAAGCATGCTGGCTATTTTCAACCTGTGCAGATGAAATAAGCAGAATATATATATTTTTTTAGTAATGGAGAACAGAAAGGGCTGCAAATGTATACCTGGCAATATTTCTTTTTTTCTCCCTTAAAAAGAATTAAAACCCCAAGCATGAAATGCACTTTAAACTGGACCTGCCTTAAAATGGCAAGTGGCTTTGAGAGACCCCAGAGAGCGATGCTATTCTTGGAAACGTCCCTGATAGCTTTCAACAGATGCAGCTTGAGGAATGCAGCTGGGGGGGGGGAGCAGCTGACCCGCCACTTTGGCAAAGTGACATTCTGGGACCTCTGCTCATTCTGGTACGCGGGCGATGGCTGATGCTTCTAACACACACACAATCATCTCGCTCGCTTGCACATAGCTGCCACCTAGCAGGAGGGACTGGGTGACAGGTGGACGCCATACCCCCTGAAAGAGGAACTAACCATTCCTTTCTATACTTAAAATGCTGAATGGTTCGTGCTTTATAAAAACTCTGTGCAAGAAAGAGCTAATGCAGATGGTACTCCACTATACAGCATTCCTTAACCCTTGCCTGTTTTAACATTTGGCAGCGCTCTTTGAAGGGAACTCGCAGGGGCTTGTTTCAGGCTGCCGATGCACTCGCTTGATCTAAGATGTTCATTACATCTTGATTTTCCTCTTCCTCCAAGCAGATCAAATGTGGTATACAGCAATGTCCTCTCCCTTCGCTAGTCTATCCTCAGGACTGACTCTTGGAGTTTGGTTATGCTGAGATAGAGTGACTGGTCCAAAGTTATGCTCTATGGCTTAGAGAGGATTTGAACTCAGGTCCTAGTCTACCTTATCTAGAGCATTCAAATCCATGTAGGTCAATGCTTCACTTTGTCACATACCCTCCAACACTTCTCCATAGCTGTCAACATTTCCCTTTTTTTAAGGGAAATTCCCTTATTCCGCATAGGATTCCTCGCAAGAAAAGGGGAAAGTTGACAGCTATGCATTTCTCCGATGAAAATAGGGACGTCCCATTCCATAATGATAATTTTTACTATTTATACCCCACACATCTTTCTGAGTTTCCCCAGCCACTCTGGGCAGTGTCCAACATATATAAAAACAAAATAAAACATTAATTTTTTTTAAAAAAAACTTCCCTATACAGGATTCCCTTCAGACGGCTTGGGCGTCAGATAACTCCATACCCTCCAAAATTTCTCCAGTGAAAATAGGGACATCCCAAGGAAAAGTGGGACATTCTGGGATCAAATCAGAAACTGGGATGACTTCTCTAAATCAGGGACGTCCCTGGAAAATAGGGACACTTGGAGGGTTGTTCTCTCATTGGTCCTCTACCAACCCTACAGGCCTGAGTTGTAGGTGGGTTGCTGGCTTTCTGCTTTTGGCATTACAACAGTTTCACCCAGCCTGGTGCCCTTCAATGCTGTTTGAGGTTAGCATAGCACTTGTCTTATGAGGAGGAAGAAGCGACTGAATTATTCAGGAAAGTTTCCCATGTCATGTGACAGAGCACTCAGCTGGAAGTCTGGATCAATTCATGGTGAGAGTTTTGACCAGAAAGCTGGTTTGGTGAAAACCAGAATGTGCAAATCTGCAAGTGCTTTGTGGGGACAAACTGTAAATTAGGCTTGTCTGCAATTGCTCAAAAGATAAATCCTGTTGATTTCAGTGGGGCAGGTGTAAGTAAATATGGAGGTCATCCATAACCATTCTCCTGCCATTACAAGTAGGATTTTGTTTTGCTTCCCTGTACTCCTGGTCCTTTGGTGGAGCTCTTTATAATTTAAAACCATTTCAGATCCCTAACTACTACATGGTCTGACAAGAAGGGAGGTTGTCGATTTCAGCTGAATGCGAATTAAACATGTGCTGTACTCAGTGTTGTATGGCGTTTGCCACATGGGCAAACATTACTTGTCATGAGGAAAACTGTCATGTGAAGCCATCTTAAAAATTCATCTATGCTGTTTTTGTATTATTATTGGGTTTTTTACAGTGCATTTATTGTATTACTATCTTTCTGCACCTTATTTTAATGTATACCATTTACTATATTTTGGTTTCATAATTTCTGTAAATTGCCTAAGGATCTTTTGACAAAAGATGTTAAGCTGTATATAAAAGTCCTGAAAATAATTAAAACAGGTTATTTTTATTATTATTATTATTATTATTATTATTATTATTATTATTATTATTATGTAAGTAAGTAAATTTGGATTCTGTCCTATACAATATAAAACACAAAATACATAATAAAAACAAATCAACCCAATAATCTCCCCTCTCCCCAGGTAATTTTTTAAAAATACAATACAACTCTTTTTTATGTACATCAAAACAGACTGAAAGACTACAGTGGGCCTGTTCTACCCAATTCAGTAGTAGTTAGGTGTAAAAGAGCCACAACTTTCAACTTGATTTATTATTTCAAAATTGTATGTTTCTTTTTCACTGTTATCTCTTAGTCTAGTCATGCTGTTTTGGAGGAAAATAATTCCCTCATGCTTTAGCAGGCCGCTGAGTCTATCTACAAAAGAGAAGAGCAGTCTGTTCTTACATATGAAGGACAGTGGCAGTCTCCAGTTTAAGTGTATAAATATGCACACTCCCAATCCCAAAACATACTGATTCGGAACTTCAGCCAGTGGGACTTGCTTCGTACTAAATGTGCTTTAGGATTGGGCTGCGAATCCTATCTATGGGTCAGCTTGCCCACACTACAAAAAAAGAAAAAAGAAAAAAGAAAAAAATGGGGCTCAAGGACAATGCACAATGTTCTCGTGTTATGGGCCCAGCAACCCTGTGAAGCAGATTGGTCCGAGAGATTTATTTATTTATTTTAAAATTTTATATACCCCCATTTCTTTACGTAGGTCCCAAAGCAGCTTACAATCATGATATACGATATACATAACTTAAAACAGAAATTGAACCTAATTTTGAAACCGCCTATATAAAATAATGCTGCAAAACATCTTGGAAGCATTCAGGGTGCAAAAGCCTCCAAAAATAAAAACTGATTTAACCAGGCATCTGAAGCTCTGTAGGGATAGTGTCCGTGTATAACTTCTTGTGGCAGGGAGTTCCGCCGAGTCGGACCCACAGCTCTAAAAGCTCAACTCATTGACATGAGTCAGATTCTGGCCCACAGCAAACCACTAATAGGGCTCCCTGCCATGATCTCATTGTCCAACTTGGGGTGTGTCAGCCTTTCAGTAAGCATCATAACTTATTGAACTAGCTTCAAGTTGAGGTCAGACAGGCCCACTCCATACTGAACTTCTGAATATATTTTTCTTATTTCAGCAGGCATTTAAATTGATGTTTGTAATTTTAGCTGGTTTTTCTTTTTGGTGTTATATTTTTACAAACCACTTGGGGAGTACGAGTTTGACACTTGACACTGAGTAGATACAAACCACCATTTACCAAGCAACATTTATTCACCTTGCATGAGGTTACAGATGTGTGTGATTGCGGAGTTTTCCGTAATCTCCTGCTGTTCCACTTTTATTTTTCTGTTTCTGTTTGCCGCCTGCAAGGATGCTTTGCAGTCGTTTTCAGTGAGATGCTGAAAACCAATGCACTGAAATACGGGTCTAAAAGTTGTCCTTTTCTCCTTCTCCTTCTTCTAGCTAGCTCCTGGCTGTGATATTATATTGCAGTCATGGCGCCCAAGAAGAAGAACGTCAAAAAGAGCAAGGTGGATATCAATGAGCTGACCATCATCGTGGAAGATGGTCCTCTCAGCAAGCTGAACGGCTTGAACGGCCTTTTGGAAGGGGGGAATGGCTTCAGCTGTGTCTCGACTGAGGTTTCCGATGCCCTCTACAGTCCCAACCTTTTGGAAGGGCTGTGCAGGATGAGGCTGGAGAACTTTCTCTGTGATTTAGTCATCGGTACCAAAACAAAGTCTTTTGATGTCCACAAGGTGGTGATGGCTTCCTGCAGTGACTACTTCCACAACATCTTGAAGAAAGATCCATCAACTCAGAGAGTGGACCTCAACGATATATCTCCCCTGGGCCTAGCTACTGTCATTGCATATGCCTACACAGGAAAGCTCACTCTCTCGCTGTATACTATAGGTAGCATCATCTCCACAGCCATCTACCTTCAGATTCATACCCTTGTGAAGATGTGCAGTGATTTTTTGATGCAAGAAATCAACGTGGAGAATTGCATGTATGTTGCCAACATCGCAGAGACATATGGACTCAAAACCACCAAGGAAGCAGCTCAGAAATTCATCAGAGACAACTTCATTGAGTTTTCCGAATCGGATCAGTTCTTAAAGCTCACTTTTGACCGGATCAATGAACTTCTTGCAGACGATGACTTGCAGTTGCCTTCTGAACTCGTTGCATTCCAAATTGCAACGAGATGGCTGGAATTTGACCAAAAAAGAGCAAAATATGCTGCGGATCTGTTGAGCAACATTCGCTTTGGTACCATCTCTGCCCAAGACCTGGTGAATTATGTTCAGACTGTACCAAGAATGATGCAAGATGCAGATTGCCATAGACTTCTAGTAGATGCCATGAATTACCATTTGCTTCCCTACCACCAGAATACATTGCAGTCTAGGAGAACAAGGATTCGTGGAGGATTACGGGTCCTGGTTACTGTTGGGGGACGCCCAGCTTTAACAGAGAAATCCCTTAGCAGAGACATTTTATACAGAGACCCTGACAACGGATGGAAGAGGCTTACTGAGATGCCAGCTAAAAGCTTCAACCAGTGTGTCACCGTGATGGATGGATTCCTCTACGTGGCAGGTGGAGAAGACCAGAATGATGCCAGGAATCAGGCTAAGCATGCGGTCAGCAATTTCTGCAGGTAACTGGTTATTTATAGAGGTAGTATGTTCAGCACATAACAGCTCCGGAGAGGGAGGGAGAGGGAAATGCAGATGCATAAACAGCAACGGAAGAACAATCTTGATTGAGGTTGTTGTATTTAGCATAGGTGCCTGTGATTGACAAATGCCATCCAAGCCGTGCCGAAAGGGAATACAGTGGTACCTTGGTTTATGGACTTACTCCATTCTAGAAGTCCGTTCTTAAACCAAAGCATTCTTAAATCAAGGAATGCTTTCCCATAGCAGTGGGGGACTCAATTTACAAATGGAACGCACTCAACAGGAAGTAAAACATGTTCTAATTCCAAGGCAAAGTTCACAGTCCAAAACACCTACTTCTAGGTTTGCAGTGTTCTTAATCCAAGTTGTTCACCACTGTACCTGCAAAGGTCGATTATTATTTTTGGAAGGAAAAAACAGCCAGAAAAAAATTGCCTTTGTGACAAAGTTAGATTAACAGCGTCCCTATTTATATGTTTACAACAGGGATGTTGCAAAGAGGAAAAAGCATGTACAAGCATGCTAGCTCCACTCCCTGTTTCCATTGACATTTGTATGTTCAAGGGTGACTGTCTCCTGCAGGAAAGCCTCCTGCAGCCATGGAAGACAATGGGGACACTGCAAGCAGGCTCATGCACGCTCCCCATTCGCTGCGTGTTTAAGTCCCCTTATGAACGCCTGAATAATTCAAATGTCTCAGATGATATGCATGTTGGATAAGACTCAAATGCTTCTCCACCCGAGAGCTGTTGGTGCTTCACAGTTGGCATATTAATTTGAAATAGGATTAGACAGGCACATTTTCCTTTTCTTTCTCATAGTAATATATTTACTGGCCTATATGTAAGCACACGAGACTCTTAATCTCAGGGTGACAGGTTTGAGCCCCACATTGGGCAAAAGATTGCATTGCCCCTTGGGGTCCTTTCCAACTCTACAATTCTATGATTCTAAATGGTGTAAGGTATCCAGTGCATTTGCTTTATTACCCTACAACTGGGGTGTGGAACGGGGCTGCAGATGTTTATCCCATTAGTCCAAGCAAGACGGGGTGCTGGGAGTTGTGGTTCACCAACCTCTGGAGGGACGAAGGTACCCCTCACCTGGCCTACAACACGGATAAGGACCCATTACCTTCTTTATCTCTTTGGGTTATATTGCCAATATTAAAGTTGTCAGTGGGCCATGCTCAAGAGAATAAACACACACTATCTTTTACGCACAGAAAACCACAAACACACTGGGAGCCAGTATCCGATGATAACAGAGGTGTGGGCTTAATGCATCTGGGCTTCTCAAATGTGAGGGGTGGTGATCGTGCGATGGCACCACTGATTCCCCACATTTTCCTACAACATGCGCTACATCAACACTAAGCTAGGAACTGTACAGGATGTAGAAGTGGCTATGTTTCCCAGACACAGTTTTGTGGTTTATATATCATGCTTCTGTAAATGATGGTCATATGAATGAATGAATTTTATTATTACGGTCACAGACCAGTTCCGAGTCACTTACAATATCAGGAAAATCATAAAACCCAACAGGGATACATTGAATTGGAATTGGGTATAACACAGGTGGCGCTGTGGGTTAAACCACAGAGCCTAGGACTTGCCGATCAGAAGGTTGGCGGTTCAAATCCCTGTGACGGGGTGAGCTCCCGTTGCTCGGTCCCAGCTCCTGCCAACCTAGCAGTTTGAAAGCAGGTCAAAGTGCAAGTAGATAAATAGGTACCGCTCCGGTGGGAAGGTAAACGGCGTTTCCGTGTGCTGCTCTGGTTCACCAGAAGTGGCTTAGTCATGCTGGCCACATGACCCGGCAGCTTTCTTCAGACAAACGCACGACTGGACCTAATGGTCAGGGGTCCCTTTACCTTTTATAACAGAGACAATTCAGCGATAGCGGCAGAAATGTGTGTGTGTGTGTGTGTGTGTGTGTTGATCACTAAAATATAAGCTAAAATTGTTGTTTAAAACCTTAAGCATTTTGGTAGTACAGCTTGTTCCCTAAGTTTTATGCTGCCATCTGCCTTATTGCAGGGCAGATTCGAGGGTAAACCATACATGGAAAGGGTCTGCCCCTGCTTGATCGAGGTAGAAACTGTCTCTCATGTCTTGTTACGCTGCCGTTTCTACGGGGATATATGCTCAGTATTTATTACTCCTGTTATACAAAAATCTCCAAATGGCTCCGAACTTCAATGTCTAAAACTCCATGATGGTCATATGGTGTACGGTGGAAAGATTTGCACTGGGAGCCTCTTGTGACCATGCAGCCAGAACTGGGTCAGAATGGCCACTTACCATCTTGCCAGTGATCGGTGGTTGCAGCCTGGCGTGGCATCTCCTCTCTCCACTGGATGAGTAGGTTTAGATTGTTTCCCTGTCTGCTCCTGGGCCGCAGAGGCTCACAGGTTCCCGCCTAACCCGTCCTTCAAATGAGCCAATCCGTGGCGGCCCTGGGGAGGGGCATGGCCATCTACTTAGCCTGGCCAACCACTCAGCACAACACCCAGTCGGCTGGGATGCAGCCATGTTAATCTTAACATGACAACCATCCAGTGCTGAACATTTGGGCAAGGTGTTCTCAGTAAGCTTCAGTGGACCCATGCCAACATCCCTGCCTGATGCATCCTTCTCCCTTTGGGCTTAATCAACATCACCTCCCACAGAAAGAAGGCAGCACAAAGAGCCCTTGCTCCCTCTGCTCATTTTGCCAATGTGGCTTCTTCTTGCTCCTCCCTGCTCACTTGCTTGGCAATGACAGGCAATCAGGCTGAAGCAGCAAAGAGGAGGTTTCAGGAGTTGACTGTGATCCCCCTGCTGGCAGGGAGTGCCTTAGCAGGTGCCCAACAATGCTGATCCCTGACAGCAGCCCATAAACTCTCTCTCTCTCTCTCTCTTGTTTTAATGTGAACATAAACCCTTCCCATCCTCCAAGTTGGTCATTCAGATGCAAGGGAGGTATTCTTAACAAAGCTTGAAATGGCTTAGGAGATTAAGGAGTTGTATTCAATGAAGTTTTACTCAGAGTAGACACACCAGAATTAATCATCATGACTAAGTTAGGCCCATTAATTTCAGTGGGTCTACTCTGAATTGAACTTCATTGACTGTCACCAATGGGAAGGCCAGAAGCACCAAGAAAGGTGAGTTGAATAAATGAATACATGACCAATTTTAATTCAAACATGATAAAACATGATGGACATGGGTAGGGAAAAAAGCACACAGACTTTTTATCCTGCCTTACTCTAAGGAGCTCAGGGTGGTGCACATGATTTCTCTCCCCCTTGCCCAATAATCCTGTGAGGTAGATTTGGCTGTTGGCAGGGGCGAAACTAGACTTTATTCCACCCGGGTCAAAGACTCCCCCATGCGCACTTGCACACACACACACAAACAGGGTGGGAGCTTCAATGGTGCCCCTTTGGAGGCTTCACCCAGGGCAAAAACCCAGCTAGCCCCTCCATAGCTATGGCACTGGCTCCTGGTGGCACTGCTGCCCCAGGTCTCATGCTGTTTATTATAAATTCCCCATTCTTCCTCCCAGAAGCTCAGAGTGACTTATGCTTGGCTCCCAGGCAGAACTGCATTGAGTGTCTTGATTGCACATCATGTACTTATTTTGCTGAGTTATTCGGGCAGAGCATATGGAATGAGACAATAACTCCCTTTGCAGTTTTCCCCAACATGTATACATGTAGCAAAAGAGGCAATGTGTACAATCCCTTAAATTGGGGCAGTGGCTGTAGCTCGGGGGTACAGCACATGTTTTTAAGACGCCCTGGCATCTCCACTTCAAAGAATTGCAGATTGGCTGAGGAGACAAAACTGGGCTAGATGGGCAAACAGTCTGGCCTATAAGGCAGCTTCCTCACTGTGAATCTGAGGATGCTCATGAGGCAAGTCCTCCTGCAATCCGTCCGCACTGTCATGAATATTCCTTCACTTCTTCCATGTATCTTTCAGGGTGTTAGAGGAAATAGCTTAGGGAGTTCCGTGTATGGATGCCAGTCTTATATGAGGATCACCCACAGGAGAGCAAGGTGCCCCTATGTCTGGATTCTCATGGAATGTGGGTTGTGGCAAAGATGGATGGTTTCACACTGGCAGAAAGGGTGATGTGAGTTGAAGTGCGAAAACTGAAGGACAACTGTCTTCTCTTCTGTGTCCAGGAAGTTCAGATCAAGTCAGTTTGCTTCAAAATGGGGACTGAATGAAAGCCTCAAACATCCCTAAGCAGAAAAGCCATTTAGAAATGCACTGAGGATTCAGTCAGATTGCTGGAATATTTTGGGGGGGTGTTAAGCGCTGCTGATAATGTTAGCTCTCATTAAAAGGCTTTAAAATGTATCTATCCATATTTATGGGGACGCAGGTGGCACTGTGGGTTAAACCACAGAGCCTAGGGCTTGCCGATCAGAAGGTCAGTGGTTTGAATCCCTGCAATGGGGTGAGCTCCCGTTCCTCGGTCCCTGTTCCTGCCAACCTAGCAGTTCGAAAGCACGAAGTGCAAGTAGATAAAGAGGTACCGCTCCGGCGGGAAGGTAAACGTGGTTTCTGTGCGCTGCTCTGGTTCACCAGAAGCGGCTTAGTCATGCTGGCCACATGACCTGGAAGCTGTACGCCGGCTCCCTCAGCCAGGAAAGCGAGATGAGTGTCACAACCCCAGAGTTGTCTGCGACTGGACCTAATGGTCAGGGGTCCCTTTACCTTTACCTTTTATCCATATTTATCTTTCCTTCATCTATTCCATCTTGCAAAGTCCATCTACACGGCTTAACATAAGAGCTCATAGTAGAGCAGAACTGACAAAGAGGAGTCTTCTTGATGTTGGTTTTGCTAATGTACAATCCCTGTGGTGCTATTTTGAACAGTATTTAATCCTCTGCTCCCATGCCATTTCCAGCACTGTAAGTCACACACTTCCAGCTGTTATTAGCTCTGCTGGGGTGGGGCAGTGGCACATGAATAGCAACTGTACTGGAGAGATGGGGTTGTTTAGCAGGCTGTGCTTCAAATTTCACCTCAGCCATTAGTTCAACAGGTAACTTGAAGCAAGCTGATCTCTCTGTCATGGCCATTATTCATTTCAGCAACTGCAGCATAGTTGCTCACAGACTGAGTTTATGCCATCCACTCACTTGCTATGGTTAGACGAGCCTCTCTGTCTCAGCCTCTTTCTGAAATATGGGGATGATAATATTGGCATACCTTACAGGGTTGTTGAAAGGACTAGTGAAGTGCTTTGAGCACTAATCTTAAGTATTATCATGTACTGAGGGGAATATAATGGAAATGAAATTGCTCTTCCTTTCTATCAGTCCCAAAGCCATGCTTAGGCTTGATAATTTTGAAATTAAATTATTTACTTCTGGTCATAAAATTATCATTCAATAGGCACTAAAAATGAAGCATTAAAAGAACGCTCCATATTTTAATTTTAATTTTGTAAATCCGGTATAGAACATATAATTATAAATGTTAACTCTGTGTTGAATTGTGGCTACAGGATATAAATAATGTATTTCATAACTTGAACCAGCAAAAGTATTTATATGTTTTAGAGTACTTTATAGGCTTATATATCCAGAGTATTTTTGGGTGGGATTCAGTCACATACTGGCAAATGCACATTAAGCAAGTAAAGTTCATTTGGCATATTTGAACTGCTGCTTCTCCCCAGAAACAGACTTTTTGTGATTATAAAAAGTGATGGGGAAAGGCCCTAGAAACATGGGATAGCAACTGCTTGATGCAACCCCTTATAACCTCCCCACATGCAGCTTAGAATGAACACTCAAGAAATAGCTGACATAGTCTAACCTCTTGATCAACTTTGTATAAACAAATCTGGCAAATGCTTGGCAAACAGGTTGTCTGGAAACAGCCACTATGTCCAAATTAAAGCAGGTCACAAACTTTTTTCTTTTTGTAGCTGAAAGCAGAATCAGAAGAGAGAGGAATACAGAGATTGAGGAACCTTATTTTATTTTATTTTATATTATTACAGAGTTGTAGGCCCTTGCAAGACAACTAAACAACAAGGCTGATATTATTTTCTTTTGAATTAATACTTTCTTTCCTGCTTCTTAGAATTAGCAACATATAGCAATGCAACAAATATTCCTATTCTCACAGGGCAAATTCTAAGGATGTAGCCATATTAATCTGTTGCCAAGAAAACAGCAAACAGTCTTGTGGCCCCTTTAATAACAAACAGGTTCATTGTAGCATAAGTTTTTGTAGATTGCAAATGTTACAAATCAGACTGGCTAGCAGCAACTATATTGCAATTGGAAGATTCTGTTACCCAAATTCTAAACATTTGGGCTAATATATTTTCTGAAGTTACTATAAAGCCAGGATTTTAATCCTACCATTTCCTCACTGTTATCTGAAGCATTATGAGTAGTGCTATTGGACATTTTAGGAAAGAGATGAAGGTACTGTAAATATGACTTGAGAAGCCAGACTTGTTTACAGTGGCCACAAGAATGCCAGGACCGAAATTCTGATCCCAGAAAGTCCTTAGAAAATACTCCCTCATTTCTTGTGTGATCCAACCAGACAGCCTCTTTCTCTTGCCCCTCCTCCCAAATTTACAGTAAATTATAAACCACCTTAGGTGCCTTGGCAGAAATTCAGCATATAAAGTAAATGAATAAATACATAAATTTTACGTAGTTACATACAAATAACAGATGGGCTCATTTCACAGAGAATATAATAAAATGTAATGAAACTAGAATATGTTACTCCACAACGTGCCATTTCTGGCCATTTCCAATGTTTTTGAGTCATGTACTTTTAACGACGTTAACAAATAGTAAGAACTTTCTCCAAGGGAGAAGTTTTCTTTCTCCGTCTCTCTTTTTGTATGTGTATATGCATATGTTTTGTCTTAGCATTCATGTACGATAGTCACTGGGTATTTCAAACATTTCTGGTAAATAACTAGGAACAAATGAAATCAGTTGACTAAGAGCAGTGAGATTATATTAAATGTCCATTCAGTTTGGTTTTATTAGTGAGCTAGCGGTTTGATTTTCCACATGTCAGAATCAAAAGAATAGATGCAATATGCATACTAAACTCAAGCTTTTTCCAGTACTCACACGCAACAAATTACTGGGTGATACCCAACATTAGTCATACTCAGAGGAAGCCCAATGATTTTAATATACAGTGGTGCCTCAGGTTAAGTACTTAATTCATTCTGGAGGTCCGTTCTTAACCTGAAACTGTTCTTAACCTGAAGCACCACTTTAGCTAATGGGGCCTCCTGCTGCCGCCGCGCCACCGGAGCCCAATTTCTGTTCTTATCCTGAAGCAAAGTTCTTAACCTGAAGCACTATTTCTGGGTTAGCAGAGTCTGTAACCTGAAGCGTATGTAACCTGAAGCATATGTAACCTGAAGTACCACTGTATCTACTCTGAGTATGACTTAATTATGTATCACTCACTGGAACATAATGGGGGGGAATATGTAATGAAGTACATAATAAATAATATGAAATGTGCATATTATTAAACCTAGTTTTATTACAGAGCTGTTACCAGGCGAGATTCAAACATCTTACTGAGCCCAGCCTGCTGCTAGTACAACAATAATTTAACACAATCGATGTCAAATGGTTAATCTCATTCATTGCCTCCCCATTTTGCTCATTGATTAAACTATGGACCTGTTGAGCAAGCAGCTCAGCCAATATTGCAATTCTTAAGCTTTCCTTGGGATCATTCTTTCAGTGCCATTGTTTTTCCATTGTTTTTACATGTCTCCATGCCTGAAACCAAGGTAATGCTATCCAGCTGAGATATGAGTCATCTTTCATGAGGTACAAGTGGTTATGAACTAGACCCCCCAATGTAGAAAGTTCTGTTTCCCCAAAGATAAATGGCCACCAAGTTAGACAGCTTTCAAATGGGGTTAGATAAATTCGTGGAGGACAAGGTTATCAATGGCTGCAAGTCCCAATGGCTATATACACACCATATTGAAGATCAGAGGCAGTATGCCTTTGAATACAAGTTGCTGAGCATCAACAGCTGGAGACTGCTATTGCCTTCATGCCTAGCATTGGGTTTACTGCTGTGGGAAACAGGAAGTTGGAGTAGATAGGCTTTTTGTCTGATCCAGAAGGGCTTTTCTTATGAAGATGCATGTATGAGCATGAATAGGACCACAGTACAGTGGTACCTTGGGTTAAGAACTTAATCCGTTTTGGAGGTCCGTTCTTAACCTGAAACTGTTCTTAACCTGAGGTACCACTTTAGCTAATAGGGCCTCCTGCTTCTGCTGCACTGCCACCACTCGACTTCTGTTCTCATCCTGAAGCAAAGTTCTTAACCAGAGGTACTATTTCTGGCTTAGCAGAGTCTATAGCTTTGAAGTGTCTGTAACCTGAAGCGTCTGTAACCCGAGGTACCACTGTACCAGGGAAGGAAGATTTTATCTTCTCCCACATGCCACTGTCTGGATGTAATTACCGCTTACTCATCAAAGCAGTGGGCCGGGTTTGTGACCCTGCGTAAGCTTCCCATGCCAGGGTGATACCCCCGTTAGTTGCTGACTGTTGCTCCACCCCTTCCCCGGCTACCTAACCAGGTGCCGACTGGGGGGGGGGGCAGAGCAAAGACGAGGTAGTGCAGGGCTCCAGTTGACCATTTCTCCTGCCTGAAACTTCTATTTGCTCCATAGCAGAAAATATCCAGCTGCCATATCATACCTCCGAAGTTCTCCAGGAATAAAACAGGACATCACGTTTTTCCACACAAGATTGCAGCAGCCATTTTGGGTGCTGCACTCTCATGCCATGTTGTCCCTCCGAAAACGCACTTTTGGGGGCTGTGACCTCCCATGGTGTCCAAAAACATGTTTTTTGGGGTGCCCTTTGAGACCTTACTCCGGAAAAAAGTGAATTTTCATGTTGAGAGCACAGTGTACGTCACATGACTCACTCAGGAGCACATTTCGGAAGATGCTCGTTTTTGTTTGGGCTCTGGAAAAGTTGGACGGTATGCCATATAAGCAATGAGCAGTTTTGGGGAGGGGGTGATTTCAACTAGGAAAACAGTACAGTGGTACCTCGGTTTAAGAACTTAATTCGTTCTGGAGGTCCATTCTTAACCTGAAACTGTTCTTAACCTGAGATACCACTTTAGCTAATGGGGCCTTCCACTGCTGCTGCGCTGCCGCCACATGATTTCTGTTCTCATCCTGAAGCAAAGTTCTTAACCCGAGGTACTATTTCTGGGTTAGCGGAGTCTGTAACCTGAAGTGTCTGTAACCCAAGGTACCACTGTACAGGAGATAAGAGAGCAATACAGCCTTTTTGGCCCACACCATGGCCCCGACCTTCAAAGCCCTAAATGGCCTTAGCCCAGTATATCTGAAGGAGCATCTCCACCACCATTGTTCAGCCCAGACTCTGAGACCGAGCACTGAGGGTCTTCTGGAGGTTCCCTTGCTACAAGAAGTGAGGTTACAGGGAACCAGGCAGAGGGCCTTCTCAGTAGTGGTGGCCGCCCTGTGAAACGCCCTCCCATCAGATGTCAAGGAAATAAACAACTATCTGACATTTAGAAGACATCTGAAGGCAGGGAAGTTTTTAATGTCTGATGTTTTATCGTGCTTTTAATATTCTGTTGGGAGCTGCCCAGAGTGGCTGGGGAAACCCAGCCAGATAGGAGGGGTGTAAATAATCAATTATTATTATTTAATTATTATTATGATTCACTTTGGGCTGATCGCTGCTTTTAGCTTTGGGAAAAGCTAAGATCCGATGGTGGGCTTGCATCTAGTTTAGCCCTTAATAATGGCAATGTTTGGGAGTCTTCATTTCTGAGAAAAGTAGCAAACAAGAGAGTGGCAGCTACAGCAAATACAAATGTTGTGACTTAGAGCTGTAGATGAAGTTCGTATCTGGATCGCATCAGTAATCCTTTCCCCCTCCCTATTTCTTTCAGGTACGACCCTCGTTTCAACACATGGATTCACCTGGCCAACATGAATCAAAAGCGCACCCATTTCAGCCTGAACGTGTTCAACGGTCTCCTTTTCGCAGTGGGCGGCCGCAACTCGGAAGGGTGTCTCTCTTCGGTCGAATGTTATGTCCCAGCAATTAATCAATGGCAAATGAAGGCCCCTCTGGAGGTGGCTAGGTGCTGCCATGCTAGCGCGGTCATAGATGGTAGGATCCTGGTCACCGGAGGCTACATCAATAACGCTTATTCCCGCTCGGTTTGCATGTATGACCCGGCTAGCGACAGCTGGCAAGACAAGCCCAGCCTGAGTACCCCGAGAGGGTGGCACTGCGCCACTTCCCTTGGGGAAAAGGTCTATGTCATGGGAGGGTCCCAACTGGGAGGCCGAGGGGAAAGGGTAGACGTGCTTCCTGTGGAGTGTTACAGTTCTTACCCCGGCCAGTGGAATTACGCCGCTCCTCTCCCAACTGGTGTGAGCACCGCCGGCGCTTCCATCCTCAATGGGAAAATTTACTTGGTGGGAGGCTGGAACGAAATAGAAAAGAAATACAAGAAATGCATTCAGTGCTACAACCCTGGTCTTAATGAATGGACCGAGGAGGATGAGTTGCCGGAGGCCACTGTCGGAGTGTCGTGCTGTACCATTGCCATGCCGAATACCAAAACCCGGGAATCCAGGGCTAGCTCAGTATCTTCCGTGCCAGTCAGTATTTAAAAACGTAGCTTTAGAAAGACTAGGTTAAACCCTTTTTTACGTGCCTATAGGAAGGGGCGGGGGCGGGGTGGGGGAGGTGACCTTTGCTTGCCAGTGAATTTCGGTTCTGCAAAACCAGCCCGTTTTCATGTCATTGGAAATGCATGGTATGACCTGAGAAATTTTAAAAAATGTAAGGCATTTGCCACGTCAGGACAAAGCCACAGGCCTCTGACTTTAAACATTAAAAGCACCTCGCTTCTTTCGAGAGCTGTTTCCCAGGTTGCACAGCTTATTTCGATAAAGTTCTCAAGAGTTGGAGCTTCGGCCTAAAAGAGGGTAGGCAAAGACATCCAACATATATTTGAAAACATAGTACTCACCTGCTATGTAAAACTAATATACCGTTATCCCAGGACTATTCTTTTCTTTAATCGATTTGTATTCCACTTAATATTTTAAAGTCTCTTTGGGCTGCAATGCATAGGGCTATGTCAACCATCCCAGAGTGCCCAAAATGTTACCTGCATATGCATTAGATTTCCTTCCTTCAATAATTTCCATGCAGGGGCGAGACAGCAGACCTACAGAAGTTCAACTCTGGCATTTCTAGACTTTGGCCAGCTTTCTCCAGTTTAATAACATCATTTTCACTTAAAAGTTCTGCTCTAGGTTAATTAACATAGATCAGGCACGTCCAACTTCCAAGAGACTGTGATCTACTCCCACTATAAATAAACTGGCAGTGATATACTCATTGGATTGACCAGAGTTGTTGAGCTATTTTGGGGGGGAGGAAATAGGCTTAAGCTCATGTGCCTTTATGCTCAAATTTGGGCCACTTTTGGAAGAACTTCCCTGGTTGACATTGGGGCAGGAGGAGCATAGGTCATAGAATCATAGAATCATAGAGTTGGAAGAGACCACAAGGGCCATCGAGTCCAACCCCCTGCCAAGCAGGAAACACCATCAGAGCACTCCTGACATATGGTTGTCAAGCCTCTGCTTAAAGACCTCCAAAGATGGAGACTCCACCACACTCCTTGGCAGCAAATTCCACTGTCAAACAGCTCTTACTGTCAGGAAGTTCTTCCTAATGTTTAGGTGGAATCTTCTTTCTTGTAGTTTGGATCCATTGCTCCGTGTCCAGGGTGGCGCCCCCGGGGCTGTACCACAAAGAGTTTGCCAGCACAGGCCACCAGGCTGGGCTGCAGATCTGGTGGACTGAGAAACTGGATCTTCCTTAACACCAAGTTAAGGAAGGCCACTCCATAGGATGAAGAGTAGGTAGGAGCTGCTATTAAAAAACAGCCTTTTCACTGTGAAGGAATGTAATAATACAACACACCCACCCCTTACTGAGTTAATGGCAAAGCCCCCATTGATCTTGGCAGCTCCTGATTGTATTCCAAGAACTCAATGCTCTGCCTGTGTATTCAGAAGTAAGCTCCATTGAGCTTAATGGAGCTTACTTCTGTAGCAGTGAGCAGAGGATTGCAGCTTGAATTGAAATTCATCTCGGTCATACCATTCAGCTATTTTTTAAAATCTAAAAACTGGGGGGGGAGGGGGGATTACAGTATTTTTGTAAACACTACTGCATTAGATCTATAACAACAACAAAAAAGGTTTGTACATTACTTTTTAAAAAAACAAAAACTAACCACGTGGTATTCTAAAATATAAGCTTAATGGCTCATAGTAATAGGTAAGCTGAAATTGGAAAAAAACACTTTGGTCCAATAAGGTAGTTTTAAGTAGTATTGTTTAGGGTAGAATGACAGGGGGAACTTTGGGAATCCAACACCTTATTGTTAATTTAATAAAGCATTACCACTTGAATTGCTTATATTATGTAGTATGGAAGAAGAATAGCCAGCTTTAACTAGATGAGTCTGAAAAGCGTCCCCTCCCCCCACCGTTTATATACTTGAATGGCCCTATCCATGTTGCTGAGTCATATTTCAAACCAATAATGTAAAAAAATAGAAATAATCTCTGTCTCTTCACAATCTGCAAGAAAAAAATGACCCAAATTGTTTTGGGTTTTTTGTTTATTTATTTGTGTGTGTGTGTGTGTGTGAGTGAGAGAGAGGGGGGGGAGTAGAATAAATCAGGAGTGGCTCTATGGGCAGCAGACCGTCCGCAAGCTAAGTATCATGGCAGGGGGGCTGGGACCATAGGCTCTGATAGGTTTAAAATCAAGAGCTACTAGGAACCAGGAACCAGGCAGAGGGCCTTCTCGCTAGTGGCACCCGCCCTGTGGAATGCGCTCCCACCAGATGTCAAAGAGAAGAACAACTACCAGACTTTTAGAAGACATCTGAAGGCAGCCCTGTTTAGGGAAGCTTTTAATGTTTAACAGACCACTGTATTTTAATAATTTGTTGGAAGCCGCCCAGTGTGGCTGGGGAAACCCAGCCAGATGGGCGGGGTATAAATAAATTATTATTATTATTATTATTCTGGTGCCTGCTGGGATTCTTGCAACATTCTGGACTAGAACCTTTGTTTGATCCATCAAGGCATTTCTTACACAAAAATCAAGCACAGCAGTGGCTGACATCACTTCCCAGTGCCCCTTTTTCAATACACGGATGAGTGATGGGCAGCTGCCAGGGGTGCCAACCTGAATAAAATATGGGGGGGCAGGTAAGCCCCACCCTGCATAATTGATCACATGACATGACACATGCACACTATTTGAATGGCAATGCCCATCAACTTGCGGGGAGCGCAGGACCCTCGAATGTTTTACGGAGTGGGAGGCAAAGTCCTCTCTGCCCCTAGGAGTTGGTTCCTATGGCAGCTGCCATTGTAGTTTTACCACAATGCCTTGCAGCAACACTACATAACTAGGGGCAATTGTGGGCAATTGTGGCATCCGGCCCTGGCAAGAATGCAGACTCAGGGTCACTTCTACAATCCAGTTGTTCCTTCAGTGTTACGAGGTCTTTCTGAATATACACACTTGCTTGGTGTGAGTGACAGATCAAAGGGATTCTACACCCCCTCACCTCCCCCCAAAGTAGGCCATTCAGGTCAGCCTGCCTATGATCTAAATGGGATGTATAGGTATAAAGCCTAAGCACACCATTTCCCATGCCCTCCCTCGTTCGGAGGGGTAATGATTGCATGTTATTAAACATGGGCGTATGTTTGTCTCCCTCGGATGTGACATTGAATGCAAGCTGATGAAGGAGAAGAGTGTGCATAGGCCCTCTGTGTACATGAAGAATGCACTGAGATAAAGTGAAGGTTAAGGAAGCTGGATTTTGTGTTTAGGTCTTGAGTTTGGCGACGCATGTTGTCATTTTTATTTTTTTGTCACTGTCAATTTCGCAGTCCAGTTCCTGACCCTATAAAAGATGCTGTTTTCGCCGGGCTCTTTTGTTTCCAGATAGCAGTTTCATTAATATAAAGGATGGTAGTTGTCTGCAGAGGTCATGTTGTTAATGCAAAATTAGGAGATGGGAAATCTGGAACAGAAGGCAGTCTGTCAGGTAGGAAGAAAGTTTTATTTTCCAAGTTTTCTCATAATTGGCCAAGGTCTCCGTTTGCACAAAGTGGAGCCCTTAAGAAGGACTTTTCATCCCGTTTGAAGTTTAGTACAGTAGGGTTGTGGCTTTCTCTGAGGCAGGCTATGCAGTTATGAAGCATGGGAGGGAATTCAATCAGAGATGCATCTGCTCAGCTTTGACTCTGAAATGATGAGATTCAAAACAGGCAAAAGAAAGTACTTCTTCATACATTTAAAATATGGAATTTGCAACCACAATACATAGTTATGGCTACTGGCTTAAATGGGGATTAGACTTCAGGTAGAAATACACATTATTAACAGAAACCTGAAATGCTCTTCCTGGCATTGAAATAAGTGGCATGGAGATAATTAGTCGCTTCAGCTGCTAATTTCTGTGTGTGTGGCAGCAGCTAGAATCCAATAAGTAGCCAGAGGGCCACATTCCCCCTGTTCTAGAGCTTGAAGCACAGTAGCTACAGCAGTAAAAGGAGGTTGTTGGTAAACCTTGCCACAGAGACTAAGGCTGCAATGCATTGACAGAATTGAAGCATGGTAATAAAGCCTGAGGATAGGAAGGTGTCATTCACAATAAGACAGTGGGATGCCGTTTGCACTATTATCTCTGGAAAAACTTGAGCGAGTCTAAGGGTAAGTGAATGTTGGACAAAATACCTGGCTCCACATTGTACGGTGAGAGAGAAAGAGAGAGAGGTTGCTGTCAATGAAAATCTAAAGTTATATTAATAAACTGTTGATGGTTCAACTGATTTATGATTTATTAGATTGTAAGGAATAAAATGATGGTACCTTTCATATTCTCACTAACAAATATGAATGGGGAAAACACGCTGTTTGCTATACATCTGCTTGTCTCCTCTTTCTTCTCTGCTTCACTGAAGATATAGATCTAAGTTAACAGAGATTAACGACACTGAGCAGTTTCCAGTATTGTGACGTCCACAGACGTGCTTTAAAAACAGGGATGAGAAACCTGACACTCCAGGTTTTTGTTGGACTTGCAACACCCCTGACCACTGTCCATGCTGGTTGGACCTGATGGGAGTCCAACAACTTTTTGGAGGGGCTCAGGTTTCCTTGTTTTCAAAAGATGAAGTTATAAAATGAAAACACTTTCATTTTCAGGCTAGACAAGGGAACACTTCACTTTCAGGCTAGACAAGGGAACACATACCTTTCTTAATGGACAATGCACAAATTTAGTTTGAGAACTTTATTACTTAAAAATGTGATGCACTATGGTGGAACAGTAAAAATGTTACTAGCACAGCAAACACCGGACTGAGCTAGACTGGTAAAGGAAAAGCGATTTATATGCGCCATATGTGCGATATAACAATGTGCCACCAGATGGCGAAGTGGAGTCCCATTTTTCACTACTTGTTTTCCCTGTTTAAATTTACGTGTTTAACTGAAACGCTTCTTTGATGTGTCTAGATCCAGCCACTCTATTTACTCATAAAACCTTCAAGGCAATTGTGAAGTCTGTTGAACTGAAACCCATCTCCACTGAAGTAATATAAGTACTCTGACCATAAAATATTCTTTGTATTATTCCCCTCAGTGATTTCCCCCCTCCATTATATAGTACTTGGAATATTTATTTCACACCCTGTGTACTTTATGGAAAGCTGTGTTGACTATCAATTAAGTCCTTAATTTTCTGATTCCTTGCATGAAAGTACAGTTCATCATTTCTGCTGTTTCAAGGCTTTGGGATACAGACTAGGGCTGATGGGAGATGGAGCTCCAGAACATCTGTAGGGTAACACTCTGGCTAACTCTGACATAGGTCATGTCTGCACTATGGACAATTGAAGATGCAGCCATACCTACATGTGCTGGGAACTGAACCTGTGGTCTTCTGCAGGTAAAGCAGATTCTCTACCAGTTATATCATATTTGTATCCCACCATTACTCTGAGGAGCTCAGATTATTGATGGTCCTCTCTCCAACCCCCAATTTTATTTCACAATAACCCTGTGAGGCAGGTTAGGGAGCAATAGTCCCTGTACTGCATTGTAAAATATGTATTCGGCTTAAAAGTGCCCTGTTAACATAAAATGCGCACATTTTCTTCTTTTAAAACACATCAATGAGCCACGTGATTATGCAATCCTCAGGCAATGTTTTCATATTAACTTCTTTTGTACGTTCTTTGTGCTTCTGTGCTAATTCTCTTTCGGAGAAGAAGGGTAAACAAAGAAGATGAGACTGTGCTACAACTCTGCAAAGGAGTAAAATGATGCCGACACATTGGAAAACCAAATCAAGAAATGCTGTTATAATTAAAACTGGAAATATATATTGTATTTTTTAAAAAAAACAACAACAACACAGTATACATTATGTGCAGTTGAAAGATACAGTATCAGCCAAGGGCTGAAATTGTAAGAGAGAAAAATGTCGTCCAAATTCACACAATTCTGGCTGA